GTTGCCCCGAGGCTGCCCCATTTTGGTGGTTGGGGTCTGGACTTGGGGGTGGGGGTCGCTTCGGCTCTGGCTCCTTCCGCTTCTTGTTCCTCCCCTTCTGTTCTACTCACTTCCTCCCTTGCTTCCTGCTCCGAACCATAGGCAGGTTTCGGGGTTGGGGCGGGGTCTGGTTGGGTTGTGACTCGGGCGGTCTCGGGGGTTTTCCTCTTCCGGGGTGGCGGCGTAGGCATTCGAGTCGGTTCCTCCAGCCGTGCTGTATGGGTCTGCCCAGTGGGCTCCCTTCATTAGTGTTTGCACGGCTGCCCCAGCTTTTCCTTGTTAAGCTGGGGCTTTGGGGGTGTGGCTCGGCCCTAGGGCATGCCGTAAAGGTTTCCGGGGTTAGGGAGGGGTTGCCTGGGGGGCCTCAGCCCTGTTTGCCCCTCTTGGGTCCTTGTACCTTTGGTGTGGGGCTGGTAGTTTCTCAGTGGGGTTGTTCCTTCCCTCTGTGTTCCTGTTGTTTTCGGGTATACCCCTCCCTGGGTTCGGTTCCGTGTTCCTTCGGGTTTGTCGGTCCCGTCGTTCCTGGGGGTTATTCAGGTAAGGTACATCCATACAAGGTGTGAAACAAACATTGATGGATTTCTTTATTGACCTAGTACATAGTGCCTAAACCGCTTCGTATCGTTGTCCCTGCATGTTCCTTGGTCAGGGGTGCTTGTCATGGTTCTCGTTGGTTCGCGAGTCTCTTCGTACCTTCCAATATTATTGGAACGTCTGTTGATTTTCGATGTGGTTTCCATCGAGTCTTTTGTTGGCCTTTTTGGTTCCCTTCTATCATCTGTTTTCTTTCGCTTCGTTTTCGCCTTGTTTTGTTTTCGCGTCATCTCTACTTCCAGTATCGGCGTTCTTTGTCTTCATTCCGCACGCCTTCCTGGTGTTTGTACGATGTCTGTACGTTGTGTGTATGCCTGGTGTACGAGCCAGGCCTCCCGGTGGACGGGTGGTGCGTTTCGTACCTCGTGTGCTGGGGCCGCGGTGTGCGTTTTGTTTACGGGCGGTATGCTCGTGTGTTCGCGTCGTTTCTCGTGGTTCTCTACGGCTTCTTGCTCATTTCTCCCTCCAGTTGTGGCCCTCTGGATGCTGAGGGTGTTTTGGATTTATATCTGGGGGTGTCACTTTGTTCTCCCTCTGTACTGCTTTGTCTTCTGCAGGGCGCGCACCTCTGGCCGTATTTCTCCTTCGACCTCGCATTTTATTCAGGTAAGGGTACATACTATGCCTACTGCCTCGAGTGTGCATGGCTTTCGGGCACACCTTTAACGCTGCTCCTGGTATGTTACTTGGCTCGCCTGTGTTGTGGCACGGTCGTGTGTCTGCTCTGCAGGTGAGGTTGTCTTGTCTGGAGCTTCTGTCGGCCTAGTGCTGGTTCTCACTTTTGGTGGGGTGCTTGCCTAGTTGTGCTTGCAGGGCTTGAGCTCTGGCTCTTTGGCCCCGCTTCTCCTGTCAGTTGACGATTGTGCAGTTTCCTGAACATTCTGGGCTCTGTCTTCACGTTTGCTCCTGTGGGTGGCGTCTGCCTCCTCCACATGGCTTTTTGGTGCTTTTCGCTTCCTTTCCCCTCTGACATTAATCAGGTTCTTTTAGCGTCTGTGGCTCCTTTGGGTGCTCACTACCTCCTGTGTCCCCTTGTGCGTACTTGCATACGGACATAAATACAGTGGCCCTGCGAAGGGCCTCTTGGCCCGTGCGAGGTAGCTTCTGTTTCTTACCATCCATTCCCACTCACGTACATGTCCAACCCGCCCTTGCACCAATCGTGGGGCCCCACCACCCCGTTACATAGTAATTGGTTCCGCGAGTCACTGGGCCTATTACAGTGCAGGTCATTCCTCCGGTCTTTCCTGATTCTGCGCTTATCCCTTTTATGCCCGTTGTTTCGTGCCCACAATATGCCACAAGGGTGGCTTGTGCCACTATCCCAGTTTCTATTGTTTCATGGGGATTGGTCAATAAACACAAACACTAAAGAACTACTTATCTTATGTTGCGTATTCAGTAGTTGCGGGTGATATTTTGGCGGGCAATGGTACGGGTTGGGCGCACTGAGTGTCGGTACAGTGTCTCGCATGTCTGTTCTAGACCACACTTGCCGGAAGTCTAGTTATTCTTCGCTACTCTGCTGGTTATATGCTTGGGCGCCGCCTCACAGTTCTCCACAGGTTGGCAGGACTTTCCCTTGGACGTACAGAACGGTTTGAGTTCCATCGTTGGTACTTTGTAGAGCCTTTCTTCTCTGGTTAGGCTCATGCGTTTGGAGCGAGTATCTTCTTGGGATACGCTATTCACTCCTCCTCCCTTGTTCACTGTTCCATCCTTGTTTACTCTTCCCCGCTTAGCGGGATTGCGTCGATGGCTCATGACTGGGGTGTTTGATGTGGTGTTTGGTCACCTTGCATGTGTCTTTAGTGCCTTTTTTGTCCATCTTTTGTTCTTGGTTGTCCTGTGGGGCTCTGCCCCGCGATTTGGTGCTTTTGTTTTCGTTGTCGACCCCTGGGTTTTTTCTCTGTCGGGACACTTTCCTTGCCTATCTTCGGTGCCTAACTGCACCCTGCTGTCCGTAAGGTCCCTCTGGAATGTACGCGCTCCTCTACACATTTTGTGGTTGGTCGTGTACGTTACTTCCCAGCCGCTCCTTGGGCCGTATTCGTGGTTTCCTTCCTTATTTCCGTTTTTCCTCCCCATGCTACACTTTTTTGTGTGTCTGGGTCAGTGCTTCTTGGTTATCCTGTTCGGTGCTCCGGTGGGCCTCTGTCCATGTTCCATGTCCTGCTTTTGGACTTCTCTGGTGTTCCGTTTTGGTACCGAGTTCCTACGATTTCTGTGTGGTTTTCTGCAGGCTTCAAGTTGTGCTGTCTGTTGGGGGGGTGTGGACTTTTCGGTCTGCCGCTCTTGCATACCTGGTTCCTTTTCTTGGAACCAGGTTTGCTGGGTTGCGGTCCTGGTTTCGGTTTTTCTTTGTTCCATTTCTAGACCGGGTGTTTTTGCTTTCCTGCGGTTCTCGTCCTCGGTAGTTATCCTCTTGGATGCCTCGGGGATGCGTGTCTCATTCTTCTCTGCTGGAGCTGGTTATGTTGCTCCTTTGGGTTGTGGGGTCGCTGTTTTTAGCTTCGCGTTTTGCGAATCTGAACACAGGTCCCAGGTTCTTGGGACCGGGTTATTGGTCTCCCACCTGCGTGTTTCGTCTCGGGGGCAGTGTCTGGTTTTCCTATCTTGCGAAGGGTCCTTCGGTCTTTGATAGGGTTGGCTTGTATTCCCTTCGGGGTTGTTCTGGGACCGTCATCTGGGATTGTCCTGTCACCTCATCATGTTGGGTGGTGCTGGCAGCGCCGCTCTTGCTTGCATTCAGTGTTGCGGTTCCTTCTGCTCCATTCCACTTGCTGTCCTGGGCGTTGTTCCCCTCTGGCCTGCTCTTGAGTTTTGGGGCCGTCCTAGTCGTTGGCCTGGGTGGTCTTTTTCTTCTCGTTTTGGTCTTTGTTTTGTCTCTGGTTGTGGTTGTTCAGTTAGGACGTGTGGTATCCGCCTCCCGGTTCCCTGTTTTACTTATCTTTGGTGAGGTAGCTCCGGGGAGCCGACGGGGCTCCCCCAGAAAACCAGCGTTGAATGTAATGAAACGCCATTTTCTGGGTGAGTCCTGGAAGCTCCCCGGTATCCCGCCCTCCCTCCGGTCGGCGGCGTTTTTCGCGTATTTGACATCCAGCCTAAGAACTGCCAGTTGGATCGCCGGCGTGGAGGGTCTGGGGCTCCCCCTTCCCCCTCTCAAGGAGGGGGGGGTTGCGCAGACGGTGGCACGGCGACGTGATGACGTCATGCTAGTTTGATAATTTTGTTTGGGGAGTTTTGTCCACTCATTCGGCTTTCGGTAGCAATAATTTCACCAGAATAGGGGTTTGTTTTGGGGCGCCTACCTTTCTGGGTGTCTGTCCCGGTCGATGGCAGACATAGAATGCTCCCAATCACAAAGGGGTTTCTATAGGCCATTGCTCCTTATGCCTCTCTGAGGGTGCCAGGTTCTGGCTCGTGGTCCCCAGTAGGCAAGAACTCCTAGCACTTTGAGTGATGCCAGAAAGTTATACATATCCATTCAGCCTGGATAGCTCCGGGGAGCCTCTGGGACTCACCCAGAAAATGGCGTTTCAGTACATTCAACGCTGTTTTTTTTTTTTTTTTTTTTTTTTTTTTTTTTTTTTTTTTTTTTTTTTTTTTGTGGGGTGTATGCACCTGTGGGTGACAAATGCTAAATAGCCCGGCGCCACACAAGGGTTAATGTGCCAAGCCTTCAGCGGTTTTGTGTCGCCGCCTTGGGTCAGTGGATGCAGCCAGTTGTCTCGTCTTCACCATGTGTCATGCGGTGCGGCCACCTGCCGAGTGTGTCCCACTTTTTACTGCTTTTTGGGTAACTAGCTCCGGCTCCCAACAGAAAACCAGCATTGAATGTATTGATGTATAGTATTTAAGTGATATTTATTGATGAAAGTCATAGACTAATTTTATTAGAAAATTTGTAGTTTTGTTTGGTATTCGTTTATATCAAAAATTTCTCAACATGTGTTTGAGTGTTTACAACCCCCTTCAGTTATTGTGACAGTTTTTTCTTGGTGGGTGGTATCTTATGAAACCCACAACTTAGGTGGATTAAGGGGAGAGGCAAGATTCTGATCATAGATACCCAGGGAGATGATATTTTACCTGGAGTACCAGTACATAAGCACTTCGGATGCCACCCCAGAAAGATTCTATAAACTAGACACATATTAGTACAGTACCCGGTATATACACTTATTAGATGTTATCACTGTATATACATATATATATTACATGCACACAACACTATCATTGCACCATTTTGTATATTCTAGGTGTGAGGATGTCTGTACAACTGGCATATATCAGTACCTGGCATATATTATTAACTGGTACAGTATATACATTAGTAACTAATGTCCTTTCTTCTATTCTCTTAGATAAAGTCTATTAGTGAGAAGCATGATGAAGCAACAGCCAAGCTCATGTCATATGAGGAATTATTAGCTGCTAAGAATGATGAGTTGTCCAGAATTAAGAAAGAACTTGGCCAGACAAAAGCTAATCTGGCAGAACGCACAAGTGAAAGTGAGACTATTGCAATACTTAGAGCTCAAGTAAGTTTAGATTTGTTTTATGCATATATAATGCCTTAACACTTGCATGATACTTTTTGTTTATTGCTATTATTTTTTATTATTTGTCATTATTGCATATGAAGGTTCTATTAACATTATGTGGTTCTATATAATTCTTACTAAAGTTAAAATATTTCAGCCATTCAACATAATTATTTAAGCTTAATTCAGAATTTAAAATTCATTTGCTACAAATTGATTAAAAAACTGGTCAATGTATATATCATTAACATGTGAACAAGTATTTTTATGGGAGAAGCCCCTACGGCTTCCCGGAGCTATCCAGGCTGAATAGATTTGTATATCTTTCTGGCATCAGTCAATGCATGGGGTTCTTGTTTACCGGGGACCACGAGCCAGAACCTGGCCCTCCCCCCTAGAGAGGCACGAGGAGCAAAGGCCTATAGAGAGCCCCCTGTGGTTGGGAGCATTCTATGTCTGCCATCGACCAGGACAGGCACCCAGAAAGATAGGTGCCCCAAAACAAACCCCTATTCTGGTAAAACTATTGTGACCGAAGGCCAAACAAGTAGACAGAACTCCTCAAACAAAATTATCAAACTAGCATGACGTCATCGTCGCCGAGCCGTGTCCCTTTGGGTCTGATCGTTTCCGTCCTTCCTGGGGAGGGGTGGTTTTCACCCCTTTCCTAACCTTTTTCGCGCTTATGTCGCATTGCTATTCTCTTCATTTCGGGATCCTTGCATATCCCTTAGTCAGGTGTGTCTTTGGGCCCATATGTGCCTCCTCCTTGTGCTTGTTTGTCACGGTTTTCGTTGATTCGCAAACCTCTTCGGTACTTCCAAATGTTCTTGGAACGTCTGTTGACTTCCGGTGAGGTTTCCCTCCAGTCCTTCCTTTGTATTCAATTCATCTCTCTCTTTCCTTCCTTCTTTCTACATGAGGCAAATGCAGTGTTTGCAGCCCTAACGGAAACTCACACCAAGGACTACCATGATGATGAAATATGGATCTTAGAGTACAATCTTTTCGAATGTGACAGGAAACACCGGCTACAGGGTGGGGTCAGCCTCTACAGCAAAGACACTCTTATCTGTACTGAGCTGCTAAACACCACAAATGATATGGTGGAAGTGCTGATTATCAAAATAGAGATCTTAAATGTAGTTATTGTCCTTGTATATAAATCACCAGAGACAAATCACCACCAGTTTAAACACCAACTAATAAAATTAGAACACTGCTTGGAAAACCTCACAAATCCAGCCCCGAACATCATTTTGCTTGGGGACGTCAATCTACGGCACCTGAAATGGAAGAACCTAGCTAATGCAGTTATATCAGAAAGAATACCAGAGAATAGCCTAAATGAACAGGCACATGCAAATGACCTGCTACAGATGTGCGACAGGTTTGCCTTAAACCAGCAAATAGTGGAACCAACTAGGAAGGAGAACATGCTGGACCTCATTTTCACCAATAATGATGAATTGATCAGGAACATAATGATTACAAATACCTGTTACTCAGATCACAACTTAACACTTCTGCGCTATCTGGACGCGCCGGCGCGTCCCGTTTCGTCTAACGCTAACGCATAGTGGACATAAAGTTGAGTCCTCTTTTAAAATATATAAAATTCATCCGATTTACTTTGGGTTTGTTTCAAACTGCGCGCTATGAGGCTCTCTTTCTCACCACTAGGCTGCATGGTACAATAAGTTCATGAAAGGTGTGATAACTTCGATCAAATGGTATTTTGTCCCAAACGGGTTGCAGGTGGGTACTTTAGCCGTTTATACTGGTAATGCTTCCCCCATATCATGTATTATATGCATATGTCTGTTTAGGGAATTTTATTCCGATCAATATACAACCAAAAATAACTGTGTGCAACAAGTATAAACTTGACAAACATAACAAAAGTAAAACATTTCGTGTGTGTTTGACGCTCACTGATATGTTCCAGCGTTGTTTTATATTTGGCGCTATTCTAACTTACGCTTTGTTGATATTTTTTACCTATGGGCACATAGAACATTCTATTGCGAACACATTGACACAAAAATGAATGACGTACATAGAAAATTAATGTCATGAGAGTGAAATAAGTATAAACTTTCAAAGCGCGTGCGTCGTCCCGTCACCGATACCGGGTAACAATTTCACCACTTCCCACACTCTTGCGGGCAGGCCGCATCATTATTCTACGCTTATATTCATATCACCGTGTTGGGAATTTCATTGCGAGTCCATTGATACCAAAATTAACGCTGTAGAATTTAATTGAAGCATTAATTCTGACAAGCATGGGGAATAGACCTTCAAAACCAGTCCAGATTCCCAGTGGAGGAGATTTCAGCAAATTCAACTTCAGTAATAAACAAACAGATAAACTGGGAGCAAATAAACCAAGACTTCACAGAAATAAGCTGGGAAGACAGCTAGAAAATGCAAACCTGAACCAGTGCCTGGAAAAAATAAGCTCAGTAGCACTAGAAATAATATGCTCAAACCGCATACCCCTAAGAAAAAAGAGGAAGAGATGCAGATTGGAACGAGAACGTCATTTCCTCTATTGGCGAAGAAACCGAATCGCGGAACAACTTGAGAGTCGCACCCTACCTCAAGAACGGCGAAGAAGGTTAGGTAGAGAAATAGAAACAATTGAACTAAAGCTACAAGAATCATACAAAACCCAGGAGAGGCAAAGAGAGCAAAAGGCCATCAGTGAAATAGAGAGAAATCCGAAATATTTTTTCTCATATACAAAATCAAGATAAAAAACAACATCTAGTATCGAGCCCCTGCGAAAGGGAGATGGAACTTTCACTGATGACAACAAAGAAATGAGCGAGCTACTGAGGAAGCAGTACGACTCTGTTTTCAGTGAGCCACTGAAGACACTAAAGATTGATAACCCAAATGAATTTTTCATGGATATGATACCAATATCAAATCATATATCAGATGTCACCTTATCCCCACTGGATTTTGAAGAAGCCATAAACAGTATGCCTATGCACTCTGCACCAGGCCCTGATTCTTGGAATTCCACATTCATCAAGAACTGTAAAAAACTACTATCGCATGCCCTTCACATTCTTTGGAGACAAAGCCTAGTTACTGGTGTTATCCCTGACATACTAAAAACAGCAGAGATAGCACCACTCCATAAAGGAGGTAATAAGGCAGAGGCAAAAAATTACAGACCGATAGCACTAACATCGCACATCATAAAAATCTTTGAGAGAGTGGAAAGAAGTAAGATTACTAAATACATGGAATCACAGCATCTCCATAACCCCGGACAACATGGTTTCAGAATAGGGTGCTCTTGCCTGTCACAGTTGCTGGGCCACTATGACAGAGTATTAGATGCCATGGAAGACAAACAAAACGCTGATGTAATTTACACAGATTTCGCAAAAGCCTTTGAAAAATGTGACCACGGTGTTATTGCACATAAAATGCGTTCAAAAGGAATTACCGGAAAAATAGGCAGATGGATCTACAATTTCCTGACTAACAGAACCCAATGTGTAATAGTCAATAAAATAAAATCTGGTCCATCAACCGTGAAGAGCTCAGTCCCCCAGGGCACTGTGCTTGCTCCAGTACTTTTTCTCATCCTCATATCAGACATAGACAAGAACACAACCTATAGCACTGTATCATCCTTTGCAGATGACACTAGGATTTTCATGAGAGTAGACAACATAGAGGACATGGCAAACCTCCAATCAGACATAAATCAGGTCTTTCTATGGACTACAGAAAATAATATGGTGTTTAACGAAGATAAGTTCCAGCTCATGAGCTACGGAAAAAATGAAGATATAAAAACGGAAACCATGTAAAAAACTCAGTCAGATCATAACATAGAATATAAAGGCAATGTAAAGGATTTGGGTGTACTCATGTCGGAAGATCTACCTTCAAAGACCACAATAAAGTAGCCGTCACAACTGCAAGAAAAATGACAAGTTGGATAACAGGAACCTTTCACACTAGAGGTGCAATATCGATGATGATACTTTTCAAGACGCTAGTGCTCTCTAGAGTGGAGTACTGCTGCACAATGACAGCCTCTTTCAAAGTTGGAGAAATTGCTGACCTGGAGAGCATACAGAGATCCTTTACTGTTAGAATCCACTCAGTAAAACATCTAAACTACTGGAACCGATTAAAGAGCCTAAATCTGTATTCTTTTGAGTGCAGGCGGGAGAGATACATAATAATTTATACGTGGAAAATATTTGAGGGGCTGGTCCCAAACCAGCACACAGAAGTAACATCATATGAGACCAGGAGGCATGGCAGAATGTGCAGAATACCCCCAGTGAAAACCAGAGGTGCAACAGGTACTCTGAGAGAGAACTCTATCAACATCAGAGGTCTGAGACTGTTCAACACGCTTCAGCTCAACACTTAAGGGGCATAACTGGCTGACCCCTGACAGTGTTCAAGAGAGAACTGGATAAGCACCTCCAAAGGATACCTGATCAACCAGGCTGTTATTCATACGTCAGGCTGGTCGCAGCCGCGTCAAACTGCCTAGTTGACCAGTCCAGCAACGAGGAGGCCTGGTCGACAACCGGACCGCAGGGACGCTATGCCCCGGAAACACTTCAAGGTAATATTCAAGGTAACTTACTGTTTTGATATTCCTTGTCTTCGTTACCTTGCTTTGTACGTGTGTGCGTACACCTTGCTGGTGTATGATATGTGTACATACGACTGATGTACGAGCTGTGACGCCTGGAAGACGGGTGGTGCGGTTCGTACCTCGGGCGCTGGGGCCGGGGTGATCATTTTGTTTCTGGGCTGTGTACACGTTTGTTGGTGTTCAGCGTTCTTTCTCGTAGATTCCACGCCATTTTCGCACCTCTTCTTTCCGGTCATAACCCCCCCTGGATACTTGGTTTTCTGAAGCGAGTGTGGGGCGGCTTTGAGTGGCGCCTCCTCCACTTCTGTACGGCATGCACTTCATCTTCTCCTACTGGTCTCACACCTCT